ACTCTTCCAGTGTCCAGAAGTCTCTGCGTTCTCAATGGAGCTCCATGAAATGCTCGACAGAATGCTCCAAAAGCCCCATTTCTGTTCTCAAGGCTAAAGTATCTGCTTCCTGTTTCATCTTCAACCCTTTAGCCAAGCCATGGTGGCAAGGAGGAGCAGACCAGCTGAAGGCCAGTTTGGAGGATGACAACTGTTCCCAACTCAAATAACACCACCACGATGGTGCTGAGGCCAGCCCCACAAGGGCCATGCCCACGGAGGCCAGAGAAGGGCATACTCAAACTGCCCAGTCCACCTATTAAACCTAGGTATGCCATTCATTGATGAAAACCAACTTCCAGAAAGTATGGAGGCCCCAGAAGCTCAGGTGTGTCAAGTACAGCAAGATGGCATCCATGCCCTGCATTCATGTACTCCAAGAAATGGCAAACACAGCCTGGCTTGTGCCAAACACTGGGCAGCACATGGCATACTCAGTAGCAAATAACCTCATCATGGAGAGAACTGTGGCTGGAGACTACCAGCTTGGCGGGTTTGAATCACGGGCAGGAGCCTGGCAGGTGAGGGGACCCCCCAGAGCAGTCACCCAGCAATATAGGGATGGGGGACCCCCTGGGTAGTATAGATGCTGTGTCCTGGTGGCTGGGGAGAGTGGCAAGACACCACCCTGAAGCAATGGGCCAGGAATGGCCAGACATTAGAACATGGATGTAGAACGGGCAAGAATGTTGGAGAATGTGTTGTTCTGTCTAAGCTACTGACCTGGAGCTCAGGGAATTCCCAGCTGATGAACCTGACTTAGGAAGACTTTCTTTAAGATCTGGGATTTGGAGAGGTACAGAGGGAGGGACTGAGCTCAGCCATGCCTTGCAGGGTGGCAGTTCCATGGCATCAGTAATCCACAGCAAAAGGGCTTTTGAAAAGTTGGGTAATATTTTGTCAGTCATTTTCATCTCTTAGCCCCGTGCACTGCTGCATGCCCAGAATTCCGATCACAGCCTTGCTCGGTACTAATCTGCTCGTCTTCGACGTTCAGATCCCAAGTCGGCTTTCATAAGATCAGGGCTCCTTCTTTAATTTCTGCAGCTGAGGGCTATGCTCACATCTCTTTTGGGGATGGTGGGGACAGAAGACTTGGCTGTTAGTCTCAACCTCACTTCCAAATAGGACCTAATGATGGGTCACTTAGATTCAAGGTTGGACCAAGCCAAGGACATCAACATGAACCTATACTGTCTTCACCAAGGTGACAGGATACAGGTACCTGCAGCTGACCTTCTGGGACCCTCAGGGCGCTAGTCAACAGAGGCATGGGTTTTTTTCTTTACAAGGCCCTTCTATGTGAGGAGGTATATGGTACAATAGTTAAACTGCTGTTTACGATGCAGCAGCCCGGACTGGAGTGCTCAGGATTGAGTCCCAGCTCTTGTGCTTCGGATCCAGCATCCTGTCAGTGTGCACGCTGGGACCCAGCCGATGAGAGCTCAGGTACCTGGATCCCTGTCACCAACACGGGAAACACGGGAAACACATACAGGGTTCTCTGCCCCTGGTGTTTTCTCGGCCTACTCTGGCCTTACCCGGAATGCCTGCCTGTTGTGGGCATTCCGGCAGTGAAACAGCAGAGATGTAAGATCTCGCGTGCCCCGGTACACTGTTTCTGCACCTTTCAAATGAAAGAAGAAGAAATAAACAGAACCTGAAAAGTCAGTCCTCTCTCATGGTGCTATGGCATAGCTGGGAAACTGGAAAGTGAGATTTACACATCCGCAGACCACTCCCCATCATGGTCTCCTCTGTCCTGATATTATTTCGTCCCCCAACCAACAGAACTTCCCTTAAGCTGTTCTGATTCTATTGGTCAGGTATCTATCACTAAATAATCAACTATTACATATTCTGCATTTTGTCTGCAATCAGCACCTATTTCCTAAGTGGAAAAGTTAAAGTAATATTCTTGCCTCCTTCACGTCAAATTCCCACACTGGGTTTTGACACTCAGAGTTGTGGTGGTGATGATGGTAATGATGATGACACTGCTGCTGCCAGCACAACTACATTTGTGAAATCTGAGCTGGACTCTCCTGTGCCCCCGACTCTGCCAATGGCCAGACCCCCCACGGTAACCCTCAGACCCAGGAAAGGATTCTATCTGCATTTTCCTAATCAGCCTGCTCTGCTCTATGGGGGTGGTAGCACTTGCTTTCATCCGATTATAATTTCAATTTACTTTTTTTTTTTTAATATAACGCTGTCTTTTCTTTCCACAATAGATAGCAGGGCAATGGAAGAACAGTCAAACTCCAGGACAGATTATAAATGAATTCTTATCTCCAAGGGCTATGTCGGAAATGGGGGGCTATCAGGAGAGCATGATGTGGTGGTGAACAATGAACCCGTGCCAGTGCCGCGATCAACTGCACAGAGCTAAGCGAGCCTGCATAAAGAACGGGAGACAATGGGCGAGGATCCCGAATGTCTCACCTTGGAAAGAGTCTGCGAGCAGGAACTCTGATACCAGTAAAGGGTGACATTTTGTGAGTACCTACAGTGTGGTAAAATCTAGTTTAATATGTGTAGTTAGACACGCATCTGAGTGGGGTACATATTTTCAGCTTTCTCAAAGGCAGCCTCTCCTTTCCCTAGGCACTCAATTTAGATCAAGCACGCAGTCTCACATGATGGTATGGGCACAAAATCAAAAAAAGTCTCCAAACCCCTCCTCTGTCAGTGAACGGATCCCAATATCAAGTGTGCCCATTAGCAACAGGCCAGTTGCTAGAAAATTAAATCTAAGTATAAAGTACATACCACAATTCCTACAGTAAACATCATACAGGTTTGCCTCATGCCATGATGAATCATTTGTTTATTCTATTAGGCATTATAAATCACGGATCACATCTAAAACGGGTGCTCCTTTAAAAGACTGAGGTGGATGCATTCGGCCCCCGATTACAAACTGAGAATCCAGATGTGAAAGCTTTCTGTAATTTCCACTCTGATTCAGCAACACAGACAACACAGAGAAGCAAACCAAGGCACAAGCAGGTGAGGAATGATATGGAGAACAAGGTAGAAAGGAGGTGGGGATAGGGAGCACCGAAAAGACTTCCTGAAAAATGGACATTCACGCCAAGGTTTAAACAGGTGGTTGGAGAAAGCCATGCCAACAGTGAGTGACAGGGCTCCGGGGGAGAAGCCAGTACCGGGATCGGTGTTAGCAAGGGGGCAGCAGAGCACAAGACAGGGACAGAGACGGTTCAGGCAGCCAGATTTGGTTGAAATGCCTTCCACTTTCAGTCTTAACAAGATGAGAAACCATTGACATGTCTTGGACAGGAGGTCATATGACCTGATGTTTTACAGACTCAGTTCTACCATGTTAAAAGTAACAATGTAGGGTTTACGAAGTTCCTAAGGGAAAGCCTTGGACCTCTAGGGTAGTTCCATTCCAAGTGGTAGGAAGATAATGAAATTGGCTGTACCCTGAGGAGCAGAGCCGGTGTGACTTGGCAATGGAGCATCTGAGACCTAGGAGACCCAGAGTCTTCCAACTCTGTCAGAAGGCAACACAGGTTGGCATGAATGAAGACAGCAAGTACTGTGGCGGGAGCAGAGTACTGGAGAGGACACTGGGAGTTACATCTTGGACATGCTCAGCTGGATGTGCTCAGGGCTGGCCACGACAGAGTAGTCACTACTTCCTTAGATTTGGTGTTCAAGGCAACGTACAGCTGGCTGGCTGGCTAAGGCTAGGGAGCGAGGGAGGGAGGTGCACAGATAACCAGTGCTACATGGGAACCCAGATGAATCTTCTGCACTTAAGACGCATCTATGATACATGAAAGAATGCAAACATCACGTAGAATACAACCTCAATCTTGGAGCAGCAAAGCTTACAAAGTTGCAGTATGTGTACGAAAAATGAGAGGGATATGCAAAAAAAAGAGAAAAAAAGTAACAGAACCTGGAGTATAAACACTTTGCCAGGACATTTGGGTTTTACATAAGCATCTATGTTATTTTGTGAAATAATGAGACACAAATTAGCAAGAGGATGCTCAAAGGCATCCTCTGCCACGGCTTTCTCCTATAAATTTCTCTTCCCTTCTTAGGATTCCACTTAGGATCCTGGTCACCTGGTGCCTCAGCTTCCCCTCTCCCTGTCTGGCCCCGTCGGCCCGCCCTGGTCAGTTGAGCACAATAGAGGCTGTGTTCTCCCCGCCCCAAGCAGACTTCACCCCAAAGAGAACTTGAGATCAGAACAGTCCTAAAAAGCAAGCGTTTCTGCTTTAATGACCACTTAATTCTCAAGCATTGCTTTTAAGGTCACGACATTCAGATTAACGAGGCTCTGAGAGGTAGATGTTCCCATGCAGCTTTCATTTCCGAGGGTAGCATGGTGTCCTGAATAAGAAGTGAACAACGCTGCATGGGCTCCGAAAAGTGAACACAAAATGCTCTTACGTTGTGCGTTACCAGGCCCTGGCCTTCACCCTCTTACACAATAGATATTAAACAAACAAAAATGCTCTTTTCTGGATGCAAAGAGAAATCTGCACTTCTCTGGGAGCCTCGGTAGCAGGGGCCTTTGAGGGATTTTCCATGGAGACATTGTGGCTGGGGGGAAATCCTCACCCTGCCTCTTGCACCACCTCCTGATCCCACTTAAATACATCTCCTAACCCTGCCTCCAGTGAGTAATGGAATTAGACAACCCGCCTGTCATCCCAAGACTTTCTTCCTTAGAATCTGGCCCTCAGGTTGTAAACACCATTTGGAAGAGGGAAAAAAAATAGTCACTGCCGACTAGTCTTCCTGGGCTCCAAGTTGCTCAGCTGGAGGGAAGCTGTTATTTCCTCCTTGGCAGCCCAGCTAGATCAAGTCGCACTTCGTCCTCCCAGAACCTGGTGCTCCCATCCTGCTGCCTCCTCGCAGCACTCTGAGGCCCAACAGCCTTCCCCAGCACGTCTTGGCATGCCTGGCTGGACCCTCACTCTGCTCCCACAGAAGATTCATGTCAGCAGAGAGAAAAAGGGGGCTGTCCTTAGACAGAGCGACCTGCAGTAGAATGACCAAGGCAGTTCTGTCTGACAGCTGACGCTCTAAGAGTCAGGCACAGAAGAGGGCACATGGTCTCCCACCCTGCAGCCCTACCACCTTCAGGCCAAGGGCACTGCTGATGGCAGAGCCAGTGGAAGAGCCTTGCAAGGCACTACAGCTGAGTCACATGATGAACCCTCTGACTCTAGGTGGGGCCTTTTCCTCAGGGTTTCCCACACTCTCTTCTGGTAACGGGGACTGTATGTGGATCGCAGGGTCAAATTGCAGACAAAGCCTGGTGTGGGAAAGCACAAACATGGGGTCATCCCAATGGGCTGAGGCTCCACCCACCTGGCCTTCAGTGGGGAGGCCGCTGCACCTCAAGCAAAAGATGGGTCCACTCACCATGCTGTGGGAGAAGCTCAGGGAGACCCACCCAAATCAGGGATCGTCCAGCTCTGTCCAGACTTCTTGACCAGGAAGTGGTCCCACCCCAGGAGAGATGAAGGGCAGGGAATGAGACTATGAGGCTCAGGCCGGGACAAGACAGTTGGCAACCATGGCAAAGGGGAGGCAAGAAGTCCAGAAGAATTGGAGAAGCTGAGCTGGGAGGGCTGAGTCCTGCTCAGGGCAAACATTAAGGTGGAAGCCACTATCCGCCCCTTGGGTTTTGAGTGAAGAATTAGGATAGTAGTGGGTGCAGGAAAAGCAGCCACAGTCCCAGGGGCTGGCAATTCAGGTCAAGTCTAGGCAGGGAATTCCTGGCTGGGCTGGCTGCTAGGGCCCAGGAAATGCCAAGTGAAACTGAAGAGGCTTCCTGAAAAACTCAGAGAAATGCAGACAGCCCCAAGGGCTTGACACACAGATCTTGATTTCAACACCCTGTGATTCTTCCCCTCTTTTCTGTTTTGTTTTCTTTTTTTTTACAATCATTACTGTGCACTCCTGAGGTTGGACTAGCTGCCTAGGGATCAGAAAGATTGGGCTTACATTAAGTTAACTGCCCCAGGTCATTAGGCAATCTGAAGATGTAACAGGACACATTCAGAGAAGTTAAAGGATGACACCACCCTCCACCCCATCCCTTCAGGGGAAAACACATCAAAGAATAGAATGCCACATAAACAAAGAATAAAAACCACTGTTTAGTTCTAGTTTCCAAAATACATGGTTGAAGCTCAGATGAGAGGCTTTCAATTTGCAGGAGCTTGCTATGTGATGGCTTAAAAGCTCAAAGGTTCAAAAGAGTGACAGACGAGGCCCTGCCCTTGCAGGTTCTCACAGAGCCTCTCCACTCACATCTAGCACTGACCACAGTTGGGCTGCCCAACTGAAACTCGGGGAAGCAGCCACACAGGTGGAGGCAGGTGCACAGGCAAGAAAGGTTCTGCTCATCCTCATCTGGGATCCAGGTTCTTCCTGGGGAGGCAGGAAGTTATTCTGTGTGCTTCCTGCAGAGAACTTGTGTGCTAGTACCCTGAGAACAGGTGCACATTGTATAAACCTTCTCTGCACAGAATAGAAATGGATATCCATGGCCAGGGTGAGGTGCTGGGTGAGGTGGGGGCATCTCAGCAGTGTCTCTGATGCCAAAAAGCTAGAGAAGTTTGTCAAGTTTTCTGTGCTCCTCTTCAAGGCCAAAGGAGGGTGCTAGACCACGATGGGAAAGCCTCTGCAGAGAAGTGTACTGTACAATGTGACCTCAATGGAGACAGTGAACAGAGGCCACAAGAAGGACCTCGCTGGACATAGTGGGGTGAGCACTAATGGCCAATGTAGATCCTGAGGACATCATACAGGTGGACGGTGTCAAAGAACAACAGACCACACTAAGAACCGCCTCCAACAAAGTCACAGCTCGGAGTCCCCACACCCTGGCCCACTTTTGGGAATTTAAATACAACCCTGAACGAACAGAAGTTACCTAGAAGTGACTCCATGAACACGTTCTTTGGCAGATGGAAGTGAGGTTCAAAATAGAGCCAAGGTTGAAAATAAAATAGCAACATTAATAGAACTGCCACATGCTTGACACACCTGCACTCAGGAGGCTGTGAAACGCGATGCCTTCAACAGGCACAGACACGAGACTGCTGTGGACTTGGTCCAGAGCTGCGGCCGGTCCCACAGAGGCTGGGGCTGTGTGCAGGTGCCACACGCATGGGCTGCAGTACCAGAAAGGGCTGGCTGAGGCCAAGGAAGGTGTACTTCCTCTTCCCTCCACCCACACAACTCACTTATCAGCTGTTTGTCATTTTACCTCTGGTCTCTCCTTTGCACCCTGGGCCCTCCTCTTCAGCCCAGTGGCCATATTCTCTGTTTCTCATGACTCGCTGTCTTTCACAAACAGCCACAAGTGCCACATGGCGAGAACTGGCAGGTCAGATCCAATGGTCAGTCCTCTGAAGATCAAGTCTACCCGTGTTTCACTTTACATGATGACCCTGGGGAGTGGTCGCCACCCTCACTGCCCATATTATGTTCTCATGCTCCGGGGATACCCTGATCCAACCTATACTGAGCATCTACACTTTGGTCCCTAATACAACACACTCTCCTCTGCCAGGTGGCTGCTGGATCTGTGATAAATGCATGCCAGTCCCCACCATCCGCCGATGGGTTCCCTGGCTCCTTCCATGCATACAGAAATCCTGCTGTCAGACCCATCCTAGAAAGTGTGTTATCAGCAGAGAAGTTCAGGGTGAGAATCCCATGGCAGGAATTGTACCGAGTCTGTGTTTCCAAGGAACACACTCATTGGGACAGGGTTCCAAGGTTATTCCAGGTGGGACTTGAGGCTGAGTGACACTTCCCAGAATTTTTTTTTCCCAGTATAGACGCAGAAGATACCATAAAGCACACTGCCCACCCAGAACTCATTACACAGGACAGAGAAGGAACTGGAACTCTGATTGTTTGGGAACACTACTGGTCTTTTTCCATGTTCTCTTGTCGGGTGTGTCATTATGAAGTCCCTTCCCTTTTGTCCTGATCTTTCTCTCTCTCACCATTAATTCAGCAGTCTATGCTTTTAGAAACATTTTTTTTGAAATGAAACGTTTTTAAATGGAAATCATGTTCCAGCTGACCTTTCAAAATTCAGGAACAAGATGTTCCTGGAGTTTTTTTACTCTTTATGGCGGTTTAGCTACTTACGTGGGTTCAGCAAGAAGTTGTTCTAATTTTTACAAATAGATTGCATGGCCAGGGCCATATTTGGAGTGTCATAGTCAAGAACAAACCTCTACTTGCCAGGCAGGGAGCCCACCTGCAAGAAGCAAAGGTTGGCCTTTGTTCGGAAAACCACAAATCTCTCCAGGAAAACCCATCGGCTACTTTTCCCACGGCAAAAGAAGAAAGTACAGCAGATTTGGGGGTCCTTGGTGAGACTCCCCACTTATTGAAACTACAGACAGTAAGAGTGGAACAGACCTGGGTTTGCCTCCCTAACTTCAGAATGGGAGAGAAAATAAAAGCAATACACGATATCTCTACAAACAGAGCCAACGGACTCTCCCTAGGAGCAAGTCTTCACGAAATCTCCAGGCGGAAATTAATTAGCGAGACGCAGCAAGAGCTTACCAACAGGTGGCTTTAGATTCTGCCCCCGGCCAGCAGAGCTTGTGTGTGTGCATGCACTGACACAGTCAGGCCCAGAGGCACCGATGAGCCTTCTGGAGATGAATTATCACTGGAGATGACTTAGGATCGCCCGGCTTCAAGGTTTATAGCATTCTCTGCACCCTGAGCTCAACCTCCCCCAAAACCTCTCAGCACCGTACTTCTCTCAAGGGAGCACATTCAGTCAACCTTCCCAGGAAAGACGATGCAGCGCATAAACAGGCAAACGGATCGACATTCTGGCCACGCTCTGCCATGACTGACAGCTGCCGCCGCACAAGGCATCCATGTGTGTTCCTGCCACATTCACACTCATGCAAAACCACACCATGCTCCCCAGGCTGGCTGGTTACCCCGGGAAAGCCCAGCTGCACAGACGGCAAATCCAGTCATCCACCCTGGCTCTCATTAGGGCAGGATCAACAAAGGGCTGCCATCACAGGCACAACATTGCTTCCTCCATTGTGGAAACCCCCAGACTGAAGCCCAGCCTTCCCTGCCCCTCTCGGTCCCGCGAGGGCTGGAGCCAGCCCTGGGGAGCTTTTCCCTTTCATCTCCACACTGCAGCCCGAGCTTTTGCTACTCATCAAGAAATGCTTTGGGGAGCCTGCTTTCCACGATTGCAGCCATCTCTGCAGACTCTGTTTTGATATTTGGCCGTGGAGAGTTCAAAGGAACTGAGAGATTAGAGTTCAAGGAAGACCAGGCTATACCCCAGGGCAGATCCTGGTTGTAGCTGCTCAAGAGCCCGCGCCTCCCATACCACAGCCCATTTGACCTTGGAACGAACCCTGTGCCCGCTGTGGTCTCACGGGGCGATTTTCAGACACCGGCTCTGCTTCTCCATGATGGCGGCCACAGACGCTTCAGCAGCCAGACCCCAGCTTTCCAAATCCATCCAGCACGGGCTGGAGTAACTTTGACCAGGCTCCTGGTGACTGACACAGAGCTCGGCCATGCCAGCCCTCCCTGACCCCTCAGGAAGCTCCTAAGATCCCCACTCACCATTCTTTTCTGCCTTCTGTTTGGGAGGCTCAGGCTCGGGGAGACACGGACAGGGTCCATCGCAGAGGGTGGTGAGGCTTTTGCCGGTGGAACAAGCGTGGAACTCCAACTTGCACTGCAAGAGAGAGAGAAGAGCAGGCCTTAGGGACGCAGCCACCACCAGCCCCTCCTTCGCCCCCTTTTGGGATAGTGCTCTTGACCTTGTGGTAGCAACTCGACTCGAGAAGCCTGAATCGAAATAGCCTTTTTGGTTTGTCTGTTTCCCATCCACATGATGCCTCCATAAAGTAGCGTGGAGGCACCGGAAGGCTTGTTATGACGTAAGATAAACTCAATTGTCACCATTTACGAAAACTGAAAGGATTCATTTGCAGTGCAACCCTTGTGGAGGCCTGTCCACTGTCCACAGAGACCTCCATGTCACCCCGGCAGCGGAAGCCAAAGTTACATCAGATCATAACAATCATCAACCTCTTCACCAGTGCGTTATGGACGGACAGACGACTTTGAGAGGTTACATGTTTGCAAAAGACTGAAAGGGCCCATCACACCCACCCCTGCCGCCAGGGTCAAGCACCCAAAGGTCCCAGGGCATGGCTTCTCCAAGGTGCACGGGGCTTCAGAGTGCAGACAGCCCACACCAGGCTGTGTGTGGCTCATTATGCAACTGTGGCACAGGTCTAGATTGGAGTTGTCTGAGAGTTCATTCGCTTTTTCCTGTGAAATTCTCAAGATCAAGGCCTGCATGTAATCAGTGCTCTGCAAAGGCCCACAGGCCCAGGACCATCTGTGTGTGTGGTGGAGGTTCAAAGGCAGGCGAGATAGGCGGAACTGGCTGCACCCACTGTGCGTGCAGTTCTTATCAGGAGCCGTGGGGACTCTCTAACAAGAAAGGGAAGAGGAGTCACAATCCTTGCCCTTGGAAAGCATAAATGGCTGCCTTTGAGAGGAGGCCACTCGCATTGGCAAGGCAGCACACCCGCATGCAGATGAGGACACTGAGTCCCCTCCCAGGGAGGGAGCGCTTCTGACCCGGTTCAGAATGCACTGAAGTCTACAATCGCAACTGCCACCCACAATGCTGTCGGCTGCCCTCGCCAACCAAGCGACAGGGTGCACCCACGGAGGGTTGCCATCCTCCTGTCGTGCAGGCTCACCAAGTATCCAGTGCATGCCTGGTGCGGTAGCAGGGGCTGCAGGGGGTGTCTGAGAACACATCTGCCCCAGTCTCCAACACCATCTGACCTGGGGATGAAGCTGACCTGAACCCAGAGTGTGCCCTCCCAAGAGAGAAGCAGGCATGAGACGTGCCTGCTACACACAACCCAAGTGAACAGGATGTAAGCCAGGGGAAAAGCCTGGAGATGGCAGGTGGACCACTAGGATAAGGAGCTTCTTTACAAAGAACAGAGAGAGAGAGAGAGAGAGAGAGAATATATGCATGTGCAGGTGTTACAGAGAAGGCCATGGTGGCCCCTCCTGCCCTCTCCCAGGTTAGCTCCCTGGGACAACCCTCAAGCAAGTGGTTTTCAAATTTTGATGGACAGAAAACGAATTTTTACTTTTGTGCAAGTTCAATTATTGCATATGCGTGTCATGAGGCTATGGTACTGTGACTGCCTGTTTGTATCTGGGAGCAACTACAGCCCCTTCCTGCCTTGGTAGCGCTGCTCACGGCCCGGTGAACCCAGCACAGCACCTCCCTGCCTCGGTAGCGCTGCTCATGGCCTGTTGAACCCAGCACAGCACGGGTTCACGGCTCAGTGAACCCAGCACAGCACCTCCCTTGGGCAGAGCAGAGGTCCCGTGCCAGGAGCAACACCAGCCCTGAACACAGGATGCACTCTGATCCATGTGTGGAACTGTCAGTGGTCACTGCTAAGCAACTTTGTCCTGCTTGGTCACCTATCCCCTGGGGAAAAGACATGGCCAGGGGAGGGCCTCACTTCTGTCTGAGACCCAGAAGGCAGAGGACTTGGAATAGAGGTGGAGTTCATTAGCAGCAAGCACTCAACATGGACAAGGTGATGGTGTTTGCCAGCTTGAAGCCCCTGGGGACTTTTGGGTGAACTCAGCATAAGCCAAGAGAATGGTAGCCTTCCTGGAGACCACCACATATGTAACAAGAAATGGCCCTGTCACTGCTTGCAGTGCTGTGTTAGGCCAGGAGGCACACGCAAGCTGACTTTGGCTACTGTGAAGAAGAGGTGATTTATTTTTTGAGAAGTAGAGAGAGGGCTCTCATCTGCTATTTCCCCCCAATTCCTGCAACTGCCGTGGCAGAGCTGGAGTAGATGCCAGGAGCCCCAGTCTCAATCCAGGTCCGATCGCTTATACCTACGTGGTGCTGCCTGCAGGGTCTGCATCGAGAGGAACTCCAGGGAGGATGTGGGCATCCTAGCTGCCAGGCCAGATGTCCTCACTGCCCTGAGGACTCTGGGTCCCTCTGAGCTCTGTATTCGCCCCCAGGACACAGTGGAGAGCTTGGTATTCCCATGTAGCAGGAGCATTTTGCTCCTCGAGCCAGCTGGGTCGGCTCCCACTCAATCCTTTCCTTTCCCGGGAATCTCCTACTTCAGCCTCTCCCTCCCCTTCTCCTCTCCCAGCACATCCTTATCCAACCCCCCTGGTAAGAGGCAAGAGGCTGCCCTCCCTGCATCCATCTAGATACTCCACAAACACCTTCTGCCACGCCCCTCCCCTTTCAGCCCTAAGTGGTCTGAAACCTCCCAGCACAGGTTTACCTGACTCGGGGTTTCTCCCCCTGGACTACAGCTCTGAACAAGCTCAGACCGGAAGCTTCTGCTTTCTTCCTGACTTGGGTCTCAGCTTGCCTCAGAATTGACGCTCACATCCATGGCCAAGGAGGCCTCTCTGGGCTCCACATGCGGCCCTTTTCCTTGTTTCTGTTGCTAGACTCGGAGCCTGGTCTGTCTGTGTTCCTGCCGCCTGACCCAGCTGTGTCATGGATCAACATTCCTAGAACATGACCTCCACGGCTGGGCTGCAGCAGCCCCTGACCTGTCAGGCCACTAGCAGCAGCAGGTGCAGGCCACCCAGCTTCCTGGGCTCCACAGATGGCCATAGAAGGGAATGGTGCTCATCCCCATCTGTGGAAATTGCAGTTTCAAGGGCACATAGCTGCTTTTCAGCTGCCAGGACACTGGGTGGCATATGAACGAAGCTCAACAGCGTGGGTTTCCATTTTGTATACAGCTTAAAACTAGCTATGCAGAGACAAACAGGACAGCAAAGCATGGCCAACACCATGGAGACCTAGCAGGAGGCTGCAGCAAGGCCAGACTGGAACCCACACACACAGGGCCTGCTGTCTTCCACGAGGCACATGCTACGTTCTGAAGCTACTGCGTCGCAACCGGGATGGACGGCGTCTATGGATAACATGTGTGTTTTAAGGAGCAAATGCTTTGTGATAAACACAAAACACCAGTTACCAGCATCTACAGAGATGCCAGTCAAACCACTGCTGGAGTAAACATGTGGGTGCCCCCGCTTGGAACAGCTGAGGGTACAAAGCCCTGGATCAACCCAGAGTCCCCCACAGAAGCACCCTGAGCCCGCAACTTGGGCACGTCCCAGTTGTCCCCATCCCAGCAGTCACTCTCAGTCACTGTCACCTTCTCTGTCCCAGGTCCTTGCCAGGTGAGAACACACAAGAGCCAAAAGGTGCAACACTGGTTCCCGCTTTACAAAGAGGCATCAGGTAGCTCTCCAAGAACAGTGACCCTAACAGCCAGGTGAGGCTCCCACTGCCCTTGATAAGCAAACTACAGGCCACAAGACTCCACAGGGAGAGGAGGGACAGGGAGGTGGCTCCTGTCAGGACCCAGAAGTGCACCTTGGTTGGCAAACCCACAGCCCTGGAAATGCAATCCAGTTGCAACCACACCCTGAGGGCAGGCCTATGGGGACAGCCAGAGTCATGGCCATGGTCCCTCTCTCACGGCAGGAGCCTACCCCTCACTAGGAGACACCAGGCTCCACCAATCAAGACAGACAGACACACATCCTCCTTTCTGGGGACAAAGGCAGCAAGGAATAAGGGAGAGAGGGCTTTCTGAGAGATGAAATAATGACTCCCCCAACACCACAGTGATGCTAGCAGTTCCCTCCGGACTTGAGGCAAATGGCACAGGCTGGAATGCCCGACATTTCTCCAGCAGTGTGCTGTAAGTTTACGGAGGGTGACGGCTTGCAACAGGGACTGAACCCACAGCATCCTGCACACCTGCCCTCCGGGGAGGAGAATCTAGGCAGTCAGAACTCTGCATTGCTCCACATTCAAGGAAGCTGGATGCTGGGATTGCCTCTTAAAGTTCACAGCAGAAGGGTTGAAAAAAAGAGCAAAATTTTGTCTTAGATTTTCTTAACTTCTTACTTTTAGGAAAAAAATAGGGTGCCAGCTTTGAGGCAACGCAGGTAAAGCTGCTTGCTGTGGTGTTGACGTCCTTATGAGGCACTGGTTTGAATTCTGACTGCTACATTTCTAATTCAGTTTTCTCTAGTGTGCCTAGAAATCAGCAAGACAGGGCCCAAGCTGCTTGGTGAGCCCCAGCCACCCATGTAGGAGACCTGGAAGATGTTCCTGGCTCCTGGTTTCAACACAGCTCAGCCTTGCCATTGCAAACAAATAAATCTTAAAAAAAAAAAATCTGTGGAAATGGCAATAAAACCTATGTTTATTTCACAAAGAGAGTAAAAATAATTGTGAAATTAAAAGAAGAAACATGTAGTTGGATTAGGCTTGGAGAGACATGCAAATTGTTGACATTACATTCAGCCAAATAAAAGGTCTCCTCCGGCCCAGAAGTCCTGAAGCAGAGAAGGTGAGATGTTGCAAGAAGGGCAGAGTTACCTGCTACCACTGAGGAGGTCCTTCGAGGCCTGTGCAAGAGAACCAGGCACAGGAGGAGTACGTCCCTGCCACCCTTTATGGGGAGGCCCCACTCGCCCTCAGGAAGTCACAGCTCCATAACCTCTAGCACAGGTTGAGTTTTATGCCTTACAGAGCACACATTTGGATTCTGGGCCTGGAAATTCAACCTCATTTGACAACTGAGTGTTTACAGAGGCAACCAAGCTAAAATAGCCCAC